GGCGGGTGGCGACAGATTCCGTTTCGGCGGGTAGCGACATCCATGAAAGGATTCTTTCTAGAATATACCTTTCAATTTATTTGTTGAGAATATCACCTCTAATGAATTGTATTATATATTTGTAGGTGTGGTCAATCATCAAGAAGACCCTCGAGATTTGAGGTCAAATCCTTTTCAAGATGGAGGGGATGATAGACTATGGCCAAGGCCATGGAATCCAAGAGGTGATACATTGAAGGAACCAAGAGGAATGGGATGATGGACCATGGGCCAAGGGCCCAATCACTAGAGCTATGGCCACCTTGAAGACCAGGGGACACCTGGAAGACCAGTGGGCTTTCCAAGCCCAAGGTACTCTTCAATTTGGACCACTCTATCATGAAGAGAAGGCATAGTTCTAGTTGTAAATATTTTGTACATAGTTCTCTTGTATATGCTTATTTTTGCCTTTGTATTTGTGAGGCACTTTAGTTTCTTTTATTAGTCATTGTATATTGATTCTAGGGTAGTTTATTTGGAGAGTTTGACTCCATTTAACCTTCTTTGTTGACACACTCATTTTCTATTTTTTCAGTACGAAAAGATGGGTAGCATTTAGCAATGCTTGAGGGTGTGACTAGTAATTGGGCCAGAATTGGGTCTAGGCAAAATTTTACATATTGGACTCATTTTGCTCTTAATTTTTCATAGATTTGATTTAGTTAGGTTTAATCATCATTGGATGAACCTAACTAAACCAAATCAAACATTTTTGAAATAATCAAAGTGAGCGAAATGACACATGGCCGCCCACCTTGCCTAGCTCCTCCTTTCGCCGAAATTGCTTCTCTACTTCTCAAGGAGTTAAGAAGCTTATGCTACAAGCTTCTCCTTAGCTTGCTTCCCAAGCAAGCTAAGTGAGAAGCTTGCTCCACAAGTTTCTAAATTCACCTAGAAGGTCAACTAACCTTACCATGGTTACTAGTGAACCATGGTTAAGGTTAGCTTGCTCCTTAAGCTACCTACCTCTATATATTTGTAATTTCTACTCTTGTAATCACTTTTGACATATTTTGAGAAATAGAATTCAGAATTCTCTCTCATTTTCAAGAGTCTAATTTCGTGGAGAATCTCCTTCTCCTAGAAGCTTCACAAAGGAACTTCTCCTTTGTGTTTGGTTCCTCAAGTTTCTCTCCTTCTAGAGAAACCGAACCACCATTGTTGTTTCTTCAAGCTTTATGAAGCTTGAAACTCCTTCATTCTTACCTTGCCGTGAAGAACCTCAAGAGAAGAAAGAAGTTATATTTGGTTCAACTTGAAAAAACATCAATCATCTCTAAGTAGTTCCATCAGATTTAGTGACGTATTATTTTGTTTTCTTAGTCTAATAAATGCAAATTAGAGATTTCAACGTACCTATAGCCCTAGTGTACCATTGAGCAATACTTGGTTTCAGATTTAAAAATTCTTATTGCATTTTAGATATGACAAAGGAATCTGGGGTGCTTAAAAACTTCAGGTTCATATTGATTCCATTTTTGTCTATTAGCACGCGCTCTCGTGTCCTTTCTTTCTTGGATATGTCGGTTTTTGCAGGCCAGTAAATAACATGGTTTGTTTAATCACAAAAAGAAAACATGGTTTGTTTTGCTAATTTTGGTTGGATGCTAATGCTACTTTAATTAACTTAGTACTCCTTTGGGCTAGTCGTTATTGATCTCTCATTCCTAAGAAACTCTATTAAATTAAATATATTTAGTTATGATAAAATTAGTTAGTTTTGATTTTAATTTTTATAAAATAATTGTTTATCTTTTATCCGTCCAAAATTTGGAACTACTTTCTTATACTATTACATGATTATTTTTAGCTATTTGTGCGTTTATTAAAAGGTTGAGGTACTCTCTAAACTGTTGGCTTAGTGATATTATATTTCTAGACCTATTTTTTATAGGTTCTTTAAACAAATGGTATTTATATACAATCGGGAAAAACAAAAATAGGTTGAATTTTAGAAAGATAAACATAAAAAAAAAATATTTTTTATAGGAAAAAAATCTAAATTTTTTGTTCATTTTATAACAATCTAATTTTTTCACAAAATTCAAAATCAAAGTTTGTTTATTTTACGAATGATAAAAACATATTTCGCTATAAAGTTATATTATTTCTTTAACATTTTGCACTTTACTCTTTCCATGTCTCCCTAATCGCACTATAAATTACGTGCAAAACATGTGGCTATGCACTCAGGGCTTCAACAAACGGATAAGTTGAAATGGAAGTGAAGAATAAACACGTTGTGATAAAGCATCAATTTGAAGATGCACCCAAAGAGTCCAATTTTGAGATCAAAACAGGGGTTTTTTCTCTCTCAGTTGAGCCAGGATCTGATGATATCATCGTGAAGAATCTCTGCATTTCTATTGATCCATACCAGATTAACCGCATGAAGAGCTTTAGCTCTTCCCATCATACTATAAGCTTTGCAGAGCCCATAACTCCAGGCGAGGTAATCATTTTTGTTAATGGAAAATGCTGGTATTTGGTAGAGCTAGCAAATGGATAGTTAGAATAATCTCTTAGATGAACTTTGATGTATTGGATAAAAATAATTTTTTTTCGATTAAATTTATTAGAGATGTACTTAAATATTGAATTCATCCAAAGAAAAATAAAACAATTAAAACCATCCATTAATGATTGTTTGATATATGGATATCAATCCATTGATCAAAATAATATTTTATTTTTAAGAAAAATATTTTTGAAATATTTTCTCTATCCTTTTTTTATATATAAATTATTACATTTTTATATATTATTTTAAAAATCATAAGATTTTTTTTTTAATATTCCAAAATAGGTTTTAAAATATCAATCTTATAAACATTTCATTGTAATTTAATGAATTAATTTTGAAGAAAAAAAATAGTTGATGAATCATTGACCATAGATAAAATAAGATAAATGAATTGGATTTAATTTATTATTTATTTTCGTTCTAATAAATGGATCGTATAAATTCGTCACGGCATAGATAGAAAGGATAATGGATAAGGAAGTCCTTTTGCCACCTCTAATATTTAGTAGTTATTGATGGAGATCCCAAGTTAGACCATTGGTATGACTATATATAATAATGTATATAAACAGGAACAATTCTCTCTTTATACATCAATTTTGTAAGAATTTAAGTTTATAATCCAATTTCTTAAAAGTTATTTTAGTGTTTATAAGTTTAAAATTTAATTGGATAAAGTTCTCTATAAGTACTTTTGAGTGAAAAAAAAAGGGAAAAAAAAAGAAACTTCTTTAAGCTAAAACTAATTTATATACAAGAAAATTTGTAATTTTTGAAATGGTTATATGAGAGAGTTTCTACTAATTAAATTTTGCAAACATTTATTTCATTTTTCTTTTCAATTTTATATCTCTTAGAAATATCTCTTGGAGAAATTTATCTGAACAAACTCTTAATAGTTAATCTATAGATTTATTAGAAATAATTCATTAATTTCAGCTTTGATCCTATTATCGTCATTGTAATTTTGATAAATAAAAATAATAATAATTTATGAAAGGCTAAGGCATGTGTATGATTGTGTTGTTCTATGTTGACACTTTCCAGGCTATTGATGGTGCTGTTATTGGGAAAGTTGTGGCTTCTGGGAATGCTAAGTTTCAGAAAGATGATTTGGTTTTGGGGGTATTCACCTGGGCAGAGTACAGTTTGGTCAAAGAAGGGAACATAATAAAGAAAATAGAGTCATCTGAATTTTCACTCTCATATCATCTTGGAGTTCTGGGTAATTACCTATTGTCATTTAGCATTTTTACCATTTTCATCACATGATGATTCTTTTTCTTGGGTTAAAAAACTCATCTCTGGTATTGTTGGAAAGTTATCGTTGATATATAAAAATAAAAGCATATTGCAGACGTAAAATCCAATGTATTACTTAAATAAGTAATAGCTAGGGTCCTCAGCCGTCATTTTAAATTGACGAAGATGCCAACTATTGAAATTTGAAAATGATTTATACAAAGATAATATATTAAAAAAGTTTAATTGAATAATTTTCCACCCTTATTAGATTCCCAACCAAAAGCCGTGCGGTTGCGACCTAGTAGTACACATAGGGATATACGATGACAACTCTTAAGGACCATTTTTAAATAGGTTTTGACTAATATTTTATTCTAAAGAACTAAAATTTCAAATTTTAGTTAGGTAAACGACTAAATAATGAGAGGGAAGTTAAAAATAAGATTTAGGATTTAAATGTGTGATTTTCAATAAATTTTAACTTATTATAAAAAGAGTATCACAAAGAGAAAATTTTACTATAAAGAATTTTATATTTAATGACATATAAAAAGTATATATATATATATATATATATATATATATCTTATGCTTAAACATAATTTAAATATTTTAAATGAACATATATTTTATATT